GGGTCCATATCCTGGTGCATTGTCATACAATTCAAACAATGGTGCAGCTACCAGCTTATAATTTTTAGGGATGGTAAACAAGGCTTTTTCTTGAAGCTGAACCAGAAACAACTTATGTTCCTTAGGCATTGTAATATGTGCAGGAATATATGGATACTGAGGAGGTTCAAAATTGGTCTCCACCAGTTACCAATGCAGTCGTCAATGACCCAGTCTTGCAGAACTCCATTCTGACGACCCAGTATCGCTGTCATTAAGCGTTTTTGTCCTTCAACTTCATCTTCTCCTGGGTTAAGTTCACCACCAGGTAGTTTGAAGAAAGTTGTTCCCAGCTGTAGCAGCATGGGGTAGCCAGTGCTCATGTACAATCAGAACCCCTTCTACAGTCCTCCTCATTCCAATTTTATCAAATTCTTCCCTCATGCGCTGAAATCTGGCTGCAACAGAGCTGTCCTTCTCATAGAGGGGCTCGTTTGTACCAAAAGTATAATTGGTAAGAGGGTACAGGTTGATGGTAAGCTCCAGGGTGAGGGGCTTGGTCTGCTGGATGTACTTGTTGCCGAACTGAGTGACCCCCCCCGCCGGGGCCAGCCTTCTGGGAACGATTGGGCGGTACCACAGGCATGAGAAAGTGGGAGATAGGGGAGACTTTTCCCCCAGAGGAAAGCAGTTATCTGCGACCCCCTCAGAGGCCACCGCCTGCCATTAACAGGAGAGCACAGTGGGTCTTTTTTTAATTTTTATTTTTTTAAGAGGTGGGGTTTCACCATGTTGGCCAGGCTGGTCTCGAACTCCTGACCTCAGGTGATCCGCCTGCTTTGGCCTCCTAAAGTGCTGAGATTACAGGCGTGAGCCACCGTGCCCGGAGTGTAGTCGTGTGATCTTGGCTCACTGCAACATCCACCTCCCAGCTTCAAGTGATTCTCGTGCCTTAGCCTCCTGAGCAGCTGGGATTACAGGCGTGCACCACTACGTGCAGCCTGTATTTCCTCTTTTTAATGGAGACTTGTTTTCGCCATGTTGGTCAGGCTGGTCTCAGACCCTTGGAGTCAAGTGATTCGCCTCCCTTGACCTCCCAAAGTGCTGGGATCACAGGCGTAATCACTGGCTTCACCGCGACCATCCAATAGTCTTGATATTCACTGAAATGTGTGATCTTGGCTGGGCGTGGTGGCTCACGCCTGTAATCCCAGCACTTTAGGAAGTCAAGGTGGGTGGATCACGAAGTCAGAAGTTCAAGACCAGCCTGGCCAACATGGTGAAACCCCATCTCTACTAAAAATACAAAAATTAACCGGGCATGGTGGCAGGCGCCTGTAATCCCAGCTACTCGGGAGGCTGAGTTAGGAGAATTGCTTGAACCTGGGTGGCAGAGGTTGCAGTGAGCCGAGATTGCACCACTGCACTCCAGCCTGGGCAATAGAGTGAGACTGTGTCTCAAAAAAAAAAAAAAAAAAAAAAGAAAAGAAAAGAAAGAAAGAAAGAAAGAAAGAAATGTGTGATCTTGCTCACTACCTTGTAAGGTTCTGGAAGGTAGAAAGTATTTCTTGCACATCCCCAGTGACTTGTAGTAGGAAAGATTTAGTAAGAAATTGTTGAACGAATATTTGAAGTTTTCTATTGTTATCCAGTTACTCCTCCTAGCTTCCAGTCACCAACCAGATTACTTTAGTTTTTCATTTCTTTGCTTTTTTTGAGACAGAGTCTCACTCTGTCACCAGGCTGGAGTGCAGTGGCACGATCTCGGCTCATTGCAACCTCCAACTCCCTGGTTCAATCAATTCTTCTGCCTCAGCCTCCGGAGTAGCTGGGATAACAGGCACATGCCACCACATCCAGCTGATTTTTTGTATTTTTAGTAGAAATGGGGTTTCACCATGTTGGCCAGAATGGTCTCGAACTCTTGACCTTGTGATCTGCCTGCCTCGGCCTCCGAAAGTGCTGGGATTACAGGTGTGAGTCACTGTGCCTGGCCAGTTTCTGATTTCTAAATGACTGCCACATATTCTAAGAAGATTGTGATCTGTGTCCTTGTACAGTGAGGACAGACACATTTTTGAGGAGGTAATATTTTTATTCTTTTGGGACTCCCTCTGTCAGAAATGGTTACAGACATGAATTAATGTTCTTTTGTTTGTGAGTAATAGGAGCCAGTGTCTTAAAATCCTTCCTTCTGTTTCCATGTTGGGCTTGTGATTTCACTCTGTCTTTGCTACTGGGTTTGACAACAGGGAATCATTTAAAGACTTTAGGCAGTGTAGTGATGTGAGCAGAATTACATTTTATAACAGTCACTCTGGTTGTGGTAGGAAGAACAGATTGGAGGGAGGAAAGCCTAAAGGCAGGGAGACCAGTTGGGAGTCTGTTGCAGTCATAGAGGTAAGAGATGATGGTAGCCTGACCTTGATTTGTGGTGGTGGAGAAGGTGATAAGAGAGCAGCCCGCGACTTCAGACCAGCTTTGATGTACCCACTGTACTCCAAAACATGGCAATGCTATTAGATCATACCCCTTTGTGTACTAGATCACGCCCCACCTAATCTCCACCACCCTTTCTTCTAGATGGCCTGCCCGGGGTTCTTTTCTGTGAACCTCTGCACACATTTGCACAGGTCATGCTGTTCCATCTGGGAGCTCTGCCTGCAAAATTTTGGCCCCTTCCTCCACAGCCTGGGTTCCCCACCCATTCCCTCAGACCTGGCTGCCTACTAAGGGATAAGAAATAAAAATAGCCGGGCGCGGTGGCTCAAGCCTGTCATCCCAGCACTTTGGGAGGCCGAGGCGGGTGGATCACGAGGTCGAGAGATCGAGACCATCCTGGTCAATATGGTGAAACCCCGTCTCTACTAAAAATACAAAAAAGTAGCTGGGCATGGTGGCTCGTGCCTGTAATCCCAGCTACTCAGGAGGCTGAGGCAGGAGAATGGCCTGAACCCAGGAGGTGGAAGGTTGCGGTGAGTCAAGATCACGCCATTGCACTCCAGCCTGGGTAACAAGAGCGAAACTCCGCCTCAAAAAAAAAAAAAAAAAAAAAAAAGACAGAAATAAAAATAACCCCCTACCTGACTGATCAGATCCCTCTTGGCCAAGAGGACCCTACAGAAACCTTTGTCCTCCAATCATACTTCTATGTGACTGTCCGTACAAAACACAGTGTGTCCTGTTTTTTGGGTTTTCATTTCTAAAGGCTCCTGTGTCATATAAAACTTAAATAAATGGGCTGGGCACAGTGGCTCACGCCTGTAATCCCAGCATTTTGGGAGGCCGAGGTGAGCAGATCACCTGACGTCGGGAGTTCGAGACCAGCCTGACCAACGTGGAGAAACTCCGTCTCTACTAAAAATACAAAATTAGCCGGGCATGGTGGCACATGCCTGTAATCCCAGCTACTTGAGAGGCTGAGGCAGGAGAATCACTTGAATCTGGGAGCCAGAGGTTGTGAGCCAAGATCGCACCATTGCACTCCAGCCTGGACAACGAGAGCGAAACTCCGTCTCAAAATAAACAAACCAAAAAAACCACTTAAATAAATGTGTATGCTTTTCTCTTGTTAATCTGTCTTTTATGACAGGTGCCTCAGCTATGAAATTTGCACTGGATGAGAAATCTTTTCTCCCCTACACTACCAACTATCAAAATATTCTTTGAGAACTTCAGAAGGGCCATGTCTTGCTTTAGGAGCAGGTGAGTTACTGAAAATTGCAAGCCCACACTGTTTAGTGATGCACTGGGGAGGGAGAGAAGGAACAAGTTAGCAGGTTTAGGGTGGGATGAGGAAGGAGAGAAGGGACGAGGAGCCGGTTCAGGAAGCAGAGGCGTTATCTGTAGCTGGAAACCCAGTTTGCTCACTCCTTTAACCTTCCTCTGTGTACATCCTGGCCTCAACTCTCACCTGGATTAGCTCACAGCCTCCCCGCTGCTGCCCCCACAGGCCCCTGACCTCCTCCAGCCCTCTGTAAACACTCCATTCCTGTGCTCGACCAGCAACAAACCTGTTCTGATAACCTTCTTTGTGCTAAGCACTAGGGAACAGAGAGAAAATCTTGACTCTCATGTAGCTTTGGTTCTTTGTTTTCTGTTTGCCTCCGGTCTGCAGAATGAGCCTTTAGAAAATTAAATCCGCTTCACACGCTTGGATGGTCCGAATGATGGGGCATTCAGGAGGGCTTCCCAGGCCCTGAAGCTCACCTCCCTTCCTGCCCCACCTCACCTCCACCGCCCTTCCTTCTAGATGGCCTGCTCAAGGCTGCCTTTCTTCTCTGTGAACCTCAGCACACATTTGCACAGGCCATGCTCTTGCATCTGGGAGCTCTGCCTGCAAAATTTGGCTCCTTCCTCCTCACCCTGGATTCCCCACCTCTCCCTCAGAGCTGGCTTCCTGCTAAAGGGTAAGAAAAAACAATAACCCCCCACCTGATTGATCAGACCACCTCTTGGCCCAAGAGGACCCTACAGAAACCTTAAAAACCGAGCATTGGGCCATGATGGGATGGTAGGGTCACATGCCTCATTATAGCCCCTCCCTTTTGTGGTTTAAATACAACTGACCAGCATCGATGGTAAAATAGAGATCATAAGACTAATAGAATGGAGTCTTTGTGGCAGTGAGATATCAGGTAATAAACAAAACCATGCAAGGCAAGGGTTAAGTGGTGAACCCCTGCAATTTAAAGAATCAATTATGCGGGCCGGGCGCGGTGGCTCACGCCTGTAATCCCAGCACTTTGGGAGGCCGAGGCGGGTGGATCACAAGGTCAAGAGATGGAGACCATCCTGGTCAACATGGTGAAACCCCGTCTCTACTAAAAATACAAAAATTAGTTGGGCATGGTGGCGCACGCCTGTAATCCCAGCTACTCGGGAGGCTGAGGCAGGAGAATTGCTTGAACCCAGGAGATGGAGGTTGCGGTGAGCCGAGATCACGCCATTGCACTCCAGCCTGGGTAACAAGAGTGAAACTCCATCTCAAAAAAAAAAGAAAAGAAAAGAAAAGAAAAGAAAGTAAGAAAGTAAATCTTCCCATTCAGTGCAGTGAAGTGCAGAACATATTTTAATCCAGCCAGGCGGATATTTGACACTGTGCGACCTCTGAAGAAATCAACAAGAAGACTTTTTAGTCTTCTATAATCTTCTGCTACATCAAAATCATCACCAGCAAATATTAACATGAGTTTTGTTCCCTCAGGGCATTTACTGTTCTTAACGTCTTTTAGAGAAACAAAATTCTCAATACCGAATTCAATCATATCCAGCACATGGTAGTCATACATGCGACCTATGACTAGATTATTTGGCCACTTCTTATTATGGGAGCCAAACATGAATAAAGAATAATCTGACTTCTTTGAAAAGAATTCCAGTGATGTCTGATCCTCAAAAGGTCTTGTAATATTTTTCTCTTTATACAGTACACTGTATGGTTTTTTCAGTGCAGACACATCTTTAAGTACTTGTGTCACTGTTGCATTTGCATTTCCCCCTTTAATCAGCAGGGCATTTTTAATATTTTCATTGAGTTTCAGTTCTCTCTTCTCAAGGAATCTCTTGGCTCTTTTCGTTTTGGGCTTTACTACTCGATCCAGAGCGTCCATCGCTACCGCTACCTGCAACTCTTAACTCGGAGACAACATCTTAACCAAGTGATCAAAGGTAACATCACCATAAAAATTCACACTGAGGCTGGGCTCAGTGGCTCACACCTGTAACCCCAACACTTTGGGAGGCCGAAGTGGGTGGATCATGAGGTCAGGAAATTGAGACCAGCTTGGCCAACAGGATGAAACCCCATCTCTACTAAAAATACAAAAATTAGACAGGCCTGGTGGTGTGCACTTGTAATCCCAGCTACTCAGGAGGTTGAGGCAGGAGAATCGCTTGAACCTGGGAAGCGGGGTTTGCAGTGAGCCAGGATTGCACCACTGCACTCCAGCCTGGGCAACAGAGCAAGATTCCATCTCAAAACAAACAACAACAACAACAAAAATACCAGAAAAATTTTGAATATAGGTAGTGGTGACGGTTGTATAACATTGTCAATGTAATTAATGTTACTGGTGTACATTTAAAAATTGTTTAAATGGGCCAGATGCAGTGGCTCATGCCTGTAATCTCAGCACTTTGGGAGGCTGAGGCGGGTGGATCACCTGAAGTCTGGAGTTCAAGACCAGCTTGGCCAACATGGTGAAACTCCATCTCTACCAAAAATACAAAAAATTAGCTGGGTATGGTGGCAGGCGCCTGTAATCCCAGCTGCTCTGGAGGCTGAGGCAGGAGAATCACTTAAACCAGGGGAGGCAGAGGTTGAGGTGAGCCAAGATTGTGCCATTGCACTCCAGCCTGGGCAACAAGAGCAAAACTCTATCTCAAAAAAAAAAAAAAAAAAAAAAAAATCTGGAGCTTGATTTTGAGACCATCTGGGGAAAATGGCGAAACCCCATCTCTACAAAAAAATACAAAAATCAGCTTGACGTGGCTGCATGTGCCCATAATCCCAGCTACTCAGGAGGCTGAGGCGGGAGAATTGCATGAACCCGGAAGATGGAGGTTACAGCGAGCCAAGATTGCACCATTGCACTCCAGCCTGGGCAGCAAGAGCAAAACCCCGTCTCAGGAAGCCATGCTTTCCTGGATGATCTTGATGCTCGTGGATGTTTGTTGGTGTCTGGTCACTGAAGTCTTCGTTGTTCATTATAATCTGTGCAGTCTGGGCTTGTTTGTACCCGGCCTTCTTGGGAAGGCTTTTCAGTGTGAAGCGACTTAAGTGTTGTGATCTAAGTTTTCGGTCACTGCAACCGTGTCTGCATTAGGAGGCAGCCTAAGCCCAGTAACACTGCGGTTCTTACAGACTTGTAGACTAACCACCTTGGTGGTCTTGACTGGATCACCAGTCTCTGGCTGGTGATCTAGAGAATTCTCTGGATCGTCAGGCAGAGACTCTTGTTTCTCTTCCCTTATTTTCTCCCTAACAGATGGAGCCATTCTCTCTGGGCTGAGCTCCTTGGAGTTGGGGAAATGGTGACAATATAAGCACCCCTGTGGCTACCATCCCTGGGCCTGTGCTGGATCAAACCCGAAGCCAGCACAGCACTGGTCTTGCCCAAGGCCTGCTGTAACCAGTCCTTGGCTACCCGCTGTGTCTTCTCAAGGCCCTAGGGCTCTATAGTCAGCAGGTAGTGAAGTCAGCCGGTTGGTCTCATATCCTTTCTCTTCAGGGCAGCGAGTTCCCCAGACTCTGGATGGGTCCGGAGGCGCTGTCCAGGAGCCAGGGTCTGGAGTGGGAAACCTTAGAAATGTACCTGGCACTCTATTCTACTGTGGCTTAAACCACAAGGCAAAGCTCTTCCTCCTCTTTATTGCCCTTTCTCTCCCCCTGTCTACCCCCACCACAGGCCCACAGGGAGTACTGTCAGTGTGCAGCTGATGTTCGGTTAAGGCCCAAGGGCTGTTCGGTCAGCTTATGGTGATGCTGCCAATCCTGGGACTCACCCTTCAGGCAGTGGGCTTCCCTCTGACCCAGAGTATGTCCAGAGATGCTGTCTAAGAGCCAAGGCCTAGAATTGAGGACTGAAAATCCCTGTGGCGCTCCCCCGCGCTGTGACTGAGCTAGTATCTAAGCCGCAAGCTTCCCTTTTCCTTTTCTCGAGCAGAAGGAGTTTCTTCTTTTATTTATTTATTTATTTATTTATTTATTTTTAAAAAAGACAGGGTTTCTCCATGTTGGTCAGGCTGGTCTCGAACTCCCGACCTCAGGTGATCCGCCTGCCTCGGCCTCCCAAAATGCTGGGATTACAGGTGTAAGCCACCATGCCCGGCCAGGAGTCTCTTCTTGTAGCCACTAGAACTTTGAATATGCAGGTCACACCTGAAGCCAGCATATTTCAAGTCTCACCCAGGGCTCATGGTGTGTATTACCTGGTTACTGCCACTGGGTATTCAGGGCCCAAGGGCTCTTTAGTCATCAGGTGATGAATTCTGCCAGGACTAGGTCCTTCTCTTCAAGGCAGTGAGTTTCCCTTCCAGACCACGGTGTGTCTAGAAATGTCATCTGGGAGCTGAGGCCTGGGATGGGGCCTCACGACTCTGCCCGTGCCTTATCCCACTGCAGCCAAGCTTGCATCCAGGTTGCAAGACAAAGACCTCTTTATTTTTCCTTTCCATCTCTTCTAGTAGAAGGAAGGGTCCCTTTTGGCGCTGCAAGCTGTGCTGCCTGGCGTTGGGGGAGGAGTGACGCATGCACTCCCTTGGCTGCCCTGGCTGGTGCCTCACTAGGACGGGTGGTCCCCAGACCCACTGGCTCTAAGCCCAGCAGAGCGCTCAGACTTGCAAAGGAGTTTCGAGTTGTCTAGTCCTTGTGGACTAGACAGTCTCCTGAAAAAAAAAAAAGAACAAGAAAATACTGGTCGGGCATTTTGTAGAATGTCCCTTAATTTGGATTTGTCTCATGTTTTTTCATGACTAGGATGGGATTATGGATTTTAAAAAATTAAGTCTGAACAGATGAGCTATGGATTTTTGAGAAGAAAACCAGAGATGTGACTTGCTTTTCTCATGTTGTGTCAAGGTGTATTTGATAATCAATGTCTTTTATTTATTTTATTTATTTATTTATTTTCATGGAGTCTTGCTCTGTCACCAGGCTGGAGTACAGTGGCACGATCTTGGCTCGCTGCAACCTCCACCTCCCAGGTTCAAGAGATTCCCCTGCCTCAGCCTCCGAGTAGCTTGGGACTACAGGTGCATGCCACCCACCCAGCTAATTTTTGTATTTTTAGTGGAAACGGGATTTCACCGTGTTGGCCAGGATGGTCTCAGTCTTCTGACCTCATGATCCACCCGCCTCTGCCTCCCAAAGTGCTGGGATTACAGGTGTGAGCCACTGTGCCTAGCCTCAATGTGACTTTTATGGTAATGTTAACCTTGATCACTTGGTTAAGATGTTGCCTCCACCATAAAGTTACCATTTTTTCCTTTCCCTACATTCTTGATTAGAAAACAGTCATTAAGTCCAGCCACACTCAAAAAAAGAGGAATTAGATTCAACTTCCTAGCTGGGTGCTGTGGCTCAAGCCTGTAATCCCAGCACTTTGGGAGGCCGAGATGGACAGATCACCTGAGGTTGGAAGTTTGAGACCAGCCTGGCCAACATGGCGAAACCCTGTCTCTACTAAAAATACAAAAAGTAGCTGGCGTGGTGGCATGCTCCTGTAATCCCAGCTACTTGGGAGGCTGAGGCACAAGAATCACTTGAACCCAAGAAGTGGAGGTTGCAGTGAGCCAAGATCCTGCCACTGCATTCCAGACTGGGCGACAGAGTGAGACTCCGTTGAGAAAAACCAAAACAAAAGAGATTCCACTTCCTAAGGCAGGAATATAAAATAATTTGTTCAATCATTAGAGTAATTAATAAAGACTTAGGGAGGAGGCACTTCGAGGCCAGGCAGAAAGCCTGCTTCTCTGTGAGTTTCCCCCACTAATTTTTCGTTTCCATCAATGGACTTTGACTCCACGAGGTCTATTTCTCTGCTGCAGGGTTGTCTAATGATCTGTTTCCTGACTACTGAAATGCTGCTAAAAGGGAGTTTAGAGATTTAGCTATCCTGGTTGTGGGATAAACAGATTCTCAGCCCTGATTACTATGTGAGTTTCTGGTTTGGTTAGATTTTCTGTTTCTGCATTTCTGGAACTTTGTCCTTACAAACCTTCCTGCCCATTGTTCACTGATCAGTCCAGGTATAGGTTGCTGATTGTATTTAGGCTACAGGAAAAGTCTGGTCTAACAGGCTGCCACCGAAAACACTGATTAATGTCACAAGTCACATAGGAGGCAAGTTGTAAAATGACCAGAAGAGCAGGTTTTCAGAAAACATTATGTAGCTGCACTAACTCTATTTCTCTATTACTGTGGTATTGCTCTAAGATCACTTTGGACTGAGAACTGACGAGTTCCTGGTAAACAAAATCAGAGTAGGCATGCCATCCCGGACATTGAGAGGGGCAGATGCCAAGCTCTAGAGTGTGTGTGTGTGTGGCAGGGGGGAGGGATTTGGAACAGGCTTTGTAGGGAAGTACCCAGTCTATATTAAGTCCCTGTGTTATATAGTTAGGTATTTCTCCTATGTATGATTATTTAATTAAAAACTGTCACTTTCCTTAGACTGGAAGGTTTTTAAAGGAAAGACGAATTCTATTTTGCTTATCATTGTGAGTCCTGCTCTTCTTCAGGCACATAATAGGCACCGTATCATATTAATTGAATGAATGAATGACAAGTAACTTGAAGTTAGAAATGTCCATGCTTTTCCTACCGTTTTCTCAACCTTCTCTTAACTTCAATCACAGAAGCAGTCTTGTATTATGGTGATTTTATTCTCTAGTAATTATTAGAATAGTTACATTTACTTACACCATTAGGTAAGGAGAGAGCTGTTGATTAGCCTAAGGACTGAGTTTTATTGCAGAACACAGTTAAGAATAAATTGAATTGAAGTCTAAACAACTTTAAGGCATATGGGAAAGGTATAGATTGTGGAGTCAGGGATATTTGGATTCAAATCTCAGCATTACCACTGATTAGCTATGCATTGTAGAGATTGACTAATCTCCCTGAGATT